ATGTGTGCAGAGCCTTCCTGTGTCTAGGAGCCATAAGGACCTGGCAGCTGCTTTTGGGAACCATGCAGAGACAAGAGAGGTATGGAGCTGGCCTTAGCTCTGGGCCCCAACTGCACCGCTGATCGGACTTTTAATGGCCTGATCAGCACTGCTGACCACAGCCACCAGGGGCCCTTTTCAACTGGATGTTTCAGTTGAAAGCTGGAGCCGGGCAGCCTTACATGCCACAGAGGATGCGAATAACAGCCCCCATGTTTCTTCTGTTCTGTTCTTTTATTGCACCTACCACTGAAGTATCTGAGAGATTCCAGAACTTGAACTACTGGGAGAGAATTCTAGGAAGACAGAGTGGAAATTTCTCTATTAACATTTGGTCAGGACTCTGAAGTTACTCTCTCCCTGTGTTTAAAGCACCATAAGATCTTGAACTGCTATGCCTGGGCAGAGTGGGTGCGTGTGGAAGCAGGATCCCAGAGTGGAGATGGGGAGGGGAGGAAGACACAGAGTCCTGAAATGGTGGGGATCAGGAACAAGGAGAGGGAAATAGGGGGCACAGCAAGCACTGCTTTATGTAGCTACTGCAGGGTACTTTTCCCAGCATCACCGCCATTATGAAGCATTGAAGCCAGCACTGACTCAAAGGGGAAAATTCCCCTCAAATGAGTCATCTGCTTCCTGTTGCACCAATATCCTTGAAGGGCCTTGCATCTATGGACTAAGGCTCTGAGTGTGGGGAAGCTGCCATATAGCTTGTGCCTTATAGCTGGGATGGACTGGGGAACTACACTGATTTTCACTTACCGCCATCAAGTTGCCCAGATCCTGCCAGAAGGTAAAATGGGGGAACTGCTCCATGCCTTTTGCTCCCACTACCAGGCGCTGGTAGAGGAATCCCCCAATTATATAAACTGCAACCAGCGAAGCAAACCTGGAGGAGAATATTGATACACAAGTGAGAGGAAGCTGAAGGCAACCTCTCTTCAGCTAACTGTCTGCCTCCAATTGGGATTGGAGCCAACAGCTCAGGGTGATTCCAAAAATGGGGCTGTAAATAGAAGCATCTGCAGAAAAGATTACCGGGTTGTGTGTTGACCAGCACACAAACCCATCCCCAGTACAGCCTAAAGGAAGAGCTGCCTCGTGGTTAACACAGGAGACTGGGGGTTAGGACTCCTGGGTTCTATTCCCAGCTCTGCTACTGATTTGCCATGTGATCCTGGGCAAGTCTCTTTGCCAAGTGAAGAAGCTGAGACACAGACAGAACTGAGGAAAGGCTAATGTTTCCTGCTCTGACAGGAGTATTCTGAGGCTTAATGATTGCCAAGGTTTTGGGGAGTGTTGGATGAAAAGCCTGACTGAAATACAGAGTAATATCCAGCTCTGGCTACAGACACACAAAACGGGCCAGTTATCTGTTCTGCTAGGTCACGTGCTATGTTCCTAACAAGTTACAAAGGCCTGGAACTGGGATTCAAGAACTGACAGGTTCTTGCAGGAACTCACATTATGAGCAGGATTGACCCGATGCTGAGGTGGGAATCCTCAGGTGGGCAGGCCAACTTGCTGTCCATCTCAAAGAGGTACAAACAGTCCTGCTCCTTTTCCCGCTCTTCTGATAGTAAGGTAAAGCCGTCCTGGGTCGGAGTAGAGTAGGAAAGAGCAAATATATGGTAGACTAAACATAAAATATGTCCTGCTACTTGCACAGATGCTCCCAGCTAAGCAAAAGGTTTCTGTAATCCACCCACTCTGGAATTCTTGCATAATGCTGATGCTTCCAGCTAAGCCCAGCCTGGCCTGCCCCTCTAGAACTCTTCCCCCAAACCATCCCATTTCAGCCACTTTTAAAATAAACCATCTATCGTCTCCTGCTAGCTGTCTGCTAAGTTAGTCAAAAGGCAGCACAACCATTACTGGTGCAGACCCAATACTCACTAAACAGAACAAGTAAAACCTTCTGGCTGCTCCACAGCCTCTCCACCCACAGTGACCCCTCTCCCCCAGTCTTTGTTATAGTAACTCCTGCCTCAGCCACGCACTCCCTTCTTCATCCTCTATATATGGCCCCATAGACCACTCACTGCTAGAGTCTTCCGGTTGCAAGAGATCATTATCATGGCCTTCCTCTTCTCACCATGGCAATGGCTGCCATACGAATCCCCCCCCTTATAAATCAGCATGATCCAATCACCTGCCAAGAGGAAAACAAAGGGGGCTGCAGGTCAGGAGCGAGGTGGACTGGCAGAGCTGGATAGGAAGGTTGAGGGGAGTCTTACTTCCATTGAAGACCTGTGTCTCATTGATTCTTCCCACCACAGTTTGCTTTTGATCCTTTAAATTGATCTGTACCAGGCCTGATTGAGGCATAGACTTGCTGACCTCTCCGCACACCTTAAACCTGTAGGTATATTTCTCCTCTGGATTTGAGCTCACATTCTTCTCAAAACTGCACAGAGGGTACAGAAAACATACAGCTGCTGATTGAGTCTCATGATGTTATTAGCCCTTTCGCATTCCAAAATAACCTTGCCACACTGCATCCATTCCTAAGTTCCACTTATGGCTTAAGTTAGTCAGAGGCCTGGCCTTTTAGGTAAGCTTACTTGCTCCTTATCTCTCCATTAGTGGGACCTCTGGAAACTGAGTTCCTTTGATGACCCCAAAAGGAAGGACAGCGTGAACAGAAGCAATGCAAATTCCTCCATTACCATCTTACTCTCATGGCCAAAGGAGCCTAGGGAAAAGGGAATCTGTCACTATGGCCCATTCAGTCCTCAGAGTGACAGAAGAGACTACCACAAAAAAGAGCCCGTTAGTGCTGATTTTGTTGGCGATTCTATAGTAAGGGCTCCTTCCTACCAGGAAAGAACAAGAACTATCAAGTTTGTCTCACCCAAGCTAATTAGAACCACTATCCAATTCTTCACTGCCCCCATGAGCCATTTCTTTTCTCCTAATCTGGGACTGACTGGCTCTGGGGGCCAGGGCTGGGGTACACTACTCAGTGCTTCCCCTCCCACCAGGGCTATTAGGAGAGGCAAGTCCTGTCCCGCCTCTCAGCCGACCAGCAGTTGGGCAGGGAAGGTGTCTCCTCCTAGATGCAAAAGAGGGGTTCGCTGCCTAACCCTAACCCTAACCCTTGGAGCTGCAATACTGGCTGCAGCGTTCAGCTGGAAGCTGGAAGGCAGCACAGGTGAGGGGGTGGAGCAGGCCCTGGGGGCACCAAGGCCAGGGCTAGTGCTGGGGGCTCTAAAGGAGTGGGGAGCTCTAAGAGGCAGGGAGCTGACACTGGGGGGCATTGGGGGCTGGGGCTTTTGGCAGACAAGTACCATTTTATTTGCATAATAATATGCAAATACAATTATATCAGTCTGCCAAAAGTCTGTGAATGAGTTTGCCACTCCATAATATAAAACCACTGGACTGGACAGTATCCATATCTCAGGCCCTGCAGTGGACCAGAGGGTTTTCATGCACTGTACCTCATGGCACTTAGGGGTTCCAGCTTCTTCAGCAAGGCCTGTTCTCTTTTCGACTCAGTGGCCTTGTCCCCAACCAGGTCGCAGTGCTTCTCTTCCTGATCTGCCATTGCAATTGTGGCCAGGACCACAAGGATTAGAAGTGCAGCCCAGGTACAATAGCGAGACGGGAACATTCTGGATATATGCCATTGCAGAGAAACAGACAGGCACAACAATTACCACTGAAACACCTGATTCCCACCCCAACACTCAAACATAGTGTTCAAAACACAGTGATTGGCCACTTCTTCATTCATGGCTGCAAAGAGGAGGAGCTGAGGCACAGGAACTTCTCAGAGATCCTCAGGAGACTCCAAAGCCCAACCTTGAGTACCCACAAAACCACTGGCCCAATCTGTAATTCTTCCTTGACTTTACATTGGGGTGGTAAGATCTTGCTGCCAAACACATCAACTGGTGCTCACTTGGTTCAAAAGAAACTGAGCATGCTTTCAGCTAGTCAGCTACAGAAATTAGGACCAGTTTCAGACATAAGCCACTATTTATTGCACCCCAAAAGGAGCATCTGTCATCAGAGGCAGGTTTGGTATCATTCAAACTGATTGTGTTTGCTGCTCCTGTGCAGACAACTTCTGGGGGACAGTGACTAGGATTAGTCAGGCTCTATTTCAAGCTCCTTAACCCTAATAATTGTATTAATTTATGTTGCCTAGCTCCTTTCCACTGAAGATCGGAAAGTGTTTTACAAGCACCAAGTTTTACAAGGTCAGGATTGCCATCCATGAGATACAGGGGGGGAAACGGAGGTACAGAGGTGGTGTGTGTAAAGTCATATAAGCCAGTAGCTGAGCTAGGAATAAAACCCAAAAGCTCAGGTTTCCAGTGCTGGGTCTTAATCATAAAGCAGCTTTTGATCATTTTGCTATTTGCTCAGAGAAACAAATGATGACCTTGCTGCTCAATAACAGCCACACAGTCGAGTTCCCTTCCCCACCACAATTCCCAATGAAGATCCTGATGTTGACAAATCAGTTAATACACTAACCTAAAATTGTGTCAAAATAACTTCTTTGTGGCTTTGTAGTTCTGGCCTTAACAGCCTATTGACTAATGGAGTTACCTGAGAGTTAACAGTGAAAGTCACACTAAATAATTCAGTTACAAGGGCTACAATTAAGAGACTGTCTACATTAGAGGTGGACATTCCAGTTTGAAGAGACATACATGTGCTGGTTCTAATTCAGCTAGTGCACTAAAAATAAAGTGTAGATGTGGGGTGCTACTGAGAGCAGGGGGAGTGGCTAGTTGCCCAAGGATGTATTTAAGGTCTTGGACAGGACATACTTAGCAGCTGGCTCCCTGCCTATCTCCCCTATCAGGGGAAGGGTGGCAGATCGGAACCAGTACATGCAGGAAGCCAGCTTTGAAGATGGCTCCGGGCATGTACCCACTCTTGCCTGTCTCTCTATCAAAGGCAGCAGCGGGAGAGAGGGTCACAGGCAGCTAGCTTTGTGGGAGCCTGAGTGATACTGAGACAGGGCAAGAAATTGTTATGATTAACCGATAAGCCCAGGTTTATCAGTTAATCATGTTAACGACTACATGCTAATATAGTGCTGGAAACCTCCCGAAAAACCACGTAAACCTCCTTTTTTTAAGAGCGGGTTTTTCCCCCCCCAAAATCGCGTCCCAACTACTTTCACTTTCAAAAGTCCCACTTTCAAAAACACGATCAGAAGATATGCAAATTCCATGCTAATTTGCATATTTCCTTTTGGAAAAAAAAAAATCTAGTCTAGACTTGCCCTTAGTGTAACTACAGCCTCACCCAAGGAGTAAGTCTAGCCCAAGAACTGAAGCTGAACACTAAACTTTAATTCAGTTCCTCTTGTCCCCATGACACTGTTCACTTCCTTTCTGTGTCCCCTTTTGCTTTAAAATTAGTTTCCATTTTTGCCTTAAATGTAAAGCCAAAAGGCCAGAGCCACTCATGACTATTAAAGACTGCATGATATTTTTTTTCCAAAGAAGGGGAACTAGCTACAGTGTTCCGGTCAAATTCCAATTTGGATTATAATCCCCTCTCCTTACATTTCCCCTAAAGATTTAACTAGATATGGGGTTCTGATTTCTTCTGGACCCAGCCCTCAAAGTTTTGTTTTCTGTTGCCATGTGGCTATTAAGCTGCTGTGAACCTTGGAGACTGCTGCATTTCAGTGACTGGATGGTTCTATTGTAGAAGGACTAAAAAGCATAGGATTCATCCAAAAATCTAGATTCTGGAGTCTTCAGTGACCCTGCGTTCTCCTCCCAACAGTTCCTTTCCTTTTATAAATCTCTCCCATCTCTTTCTTTTATTCCAAGTCAGGAGACCACAAGGATGGTTCTACAGGGTCACTCATTTTTTAAATTACAGACTAACATGGCTACCCCTCTGAGACTTCTTCCCTCCCTATTCATCATATACTCACACGGGTGTGGGCAGATAGGATTTGGCTGCCCCAGGTTTTGAGACCCCCAGAACAGGACTCTTTACAATAGGTACTTAGCAATACTTTGACATAGCAGACGACCAGCATTTACTGTAAGCTGTGTGCTTGTGCAGCCACGTGGAATTTCAGATGCCCCCCAGCAGATTAGCAGAGTGCCCACAGATTTGTTTCTACTGGTGGTGCACAGTCACACACTTCTTGGTGCATATAAAAGTTATTCTGCACATGGATAGCAAAGATGAAAGGGAACATTGCAGAAGGCCCAAAGGCCCGTCACATCACCAACCACAAACTAGCAACCCATTTACAGCTGCAAGAAAGTACAGATCAGCTGGATCTGCCGGATGTGGGGGAGCCCCTAGAGCCCTTGGGAGCCCCCCCAGTCATGCCCCCCCCAGATGCTGGAAACAGATCGGGGGAAAGAGAGAAACTCACCTGACACTGGGAGAGCGGGGCGGGGGGCCACGAAGGATCTGCGAGGCCGCACGTCACGCCGCCGTTACCCACCTGCAGCGCCCCCCCGCTCTGGCCCTGCCTCCCGCGGTGCCAGCCCGGCGCTGCCCGCGCCACGTGCGCCCACCCGGCCTCTACCTAATACATTATTAACAAGGGCTCATGAATATTCAGCATGCATAAATGAATAGCTAATAGGACGCTCGCCAACCGGGGCGGGCGCCCGTTCCCCGGGGTGAGTATCAGACGGGGAAGGTCTCGCCACCGCCACTGTCCCCTCCCGCCAGCCTCCCTCAGTCCCACCCGCTGATCCGGAAGCAGGAAGTGGACAAGGGGCGGGCGCTAGGCAACAACGACTGGCCTAAAGCCCCGCCCAGATTAATTTCCCTATAGACTGGCACACGTGTCCCCCCACGGGTAACTGTTGCCCAATGAGAAGTGGCGATAGCGGGCGTCTGCTCCCCGAGGCTCTCCTCATCCAATTAACGGTGACGATTCCACAGCAAGAACGAACCTCTCTAGACTAATTCGTCCAATGGGCTCTGACAATTTGCCTGGAAGGCTCCGCCTACCACCTCATCTCGTCCAATGAACAGTGCAATTAAAACATTGACAAGCCCCAATGAGCGATGACAGCTCAGAAGGGCGCCCACCCCACAAAATGCTCTCGTCCAATGGCAGCGCAGCTCTGGTCCCCGAACAACCCCACTCTCCGACCCCTCCCGAGGGTGGCTCACGGGATCCTCACGCGCTACTCACTCATGTGCTTATCTCCCCGCCGCCGCCACCACCCGCGCGGTGTCTGCTGGGAGTTGTAGTCCTGAGAACCCAGCGCTCGCTCAGCGCCCCTGCAGCCTGGGGGCGGCTCTGAGCGGGCGGGTGCCCCGGGGAGAAGGGAGCCAATAGCCCCACCCCTCTCTGCAGCCTCGTGGGCCGATT